AGAGGAGACTATCTAGATGACCAACGATTGCTAGTGACTCGGAGATTGCTAGTCGTAGCATTCATTGTTTGCAAGAAGGTACTGAGAAAGTTTAGGGATGGCAATTAGGATTGCGTTGCTGTAAGTTTGGGAATACAGTAATGCTTCATTATCCTCGGGGGTTAGGCTTCTGCAATATTGTGCGGATAATGAAACCGCGGATGATGAGACTACAAGGCCAAATAAAATAATGGGTTCGAGGCGATACAGTCATTTGCACAGAAGAAGAAGAGAAGAGAAGAGAAGTACAAGAGAAGAATAAGAGAAGAATAAAAGAAGAATGACAAGAAGAGAAGAACAGAAGACGAAGGGAAGACGAAGAGAAGACGAAGAGAAGACGAAGAGAAGACGAAGAGAAGACGAAGTGAAGACGAAGGGAAGACGAAGAGAAGAGAAGACGAACGGAAGAGAAGAGAAGAGAAGACGAAGGGAAGACGAAGAGAAGAGAAGACGAACGGAAGAGAAGAGAAGAGAAGACGAAGGGAAGACGAAGAGAAGAGAAGACGAACGGAAGAGAAGAGAAGAGAAGACGAAGGGAAGACGAAGAGAAGAGAAGACGAACGGAAGAGAAGAGAAGAGAAAGGAAGGGAAGGGAAGGGAAGACGAAGAGAAGACGAAGGGAAGAGAAGACGAAGAAAAGACGAAGGGAAGAGAAGACGAAGAGAAGAGAAAACGAAGGGAAGAGAAGACGAAGAGAAGACGAAGAGAAGACGAAGTGAAGACGAAGACAAGACGAAGAGAAGACGAAGAGAAGACGAAGGGAAGAGAAGACGAACGGAAGAGAAGAGAAGAGAAAGGAAGGGAAGGGAAGGGAAGACGAAGGGAAGAGAAGACGAAGGGAAGACGAAGGGAAGATGAAGAGAAGAGAAGACGAACGGAAGAGAAGAGAAGAGAAAGGAAGGGAAGGGAAGGGAAGGGAAGACGAAGGGAAGACGAAGGGAAGAGAAGACGAACGGAAGAGAAGACGAAGTGAAGACAAAAGGAAGACGAAGGGAAGACGAAGAGAAGAGAAGACGAAGGGAAGAGAAGACGAAGGGAAGACAAAGGGAAGACGAAGGGAAGAGAAGACGAAGGGAAGACAAAGGGAAGACGAAGGGAAGAGAAGACGAACGGAAGAGAAGAGAAGAGAAGACGAAGAGAAGACGAAGTGAAGACGAAGGGAAGACGAAGAGAAGAGAAGACGAAGGGAAGAGAAGACGAAGTGAAGACGAAGAGAAGACGAAGAGAAGACGAAGTGAAGACGAAGAGAAGACGAAGAGAAGACGAAGAGAAGACGAAGAGAAGAGAAGACGAACGGAAGAGAAGAGAAGAGAAGGGAAGCGAAGGGAAGGGAAGGGAAGACGAACGGAAGACGAAGGGAAGAGAAGACGAAGGGAAGATGAAGGGAAGACGAAGACGAACGGAAGAGAAGAGAAGAGAAGACGAAGGGAAGACGAAGAGAAGACGGAGGGAAGGGAAGACGAAGAGAAGAGAAGGGAAGGGAAGGGAAGGGAAGGGAAGACGAAGGGAAGACGAAGGGAAGACGAAGAGAAGACGAAAGGAAGACGAAGAGAAGACGAAGGGAAGAGAAGACGAACGGAAGAGAAGAGAAGAGAAGACGAAGAGAAGACGAAGTGAAGACGAAGGGAAGACGAAGAGAAGAGAAGACGAACGGAAGAGAAGACGAACGGAAGAGAAGAGAAGAGAAGACGAAGAGAAGACGAAGGGAAGAGAAGACGAACGGAAGAGAAGAGAAGAGAAGGGAAGCGAAGGGAAGGGAAGGGAAGACGAAGGGAAGACGAAGGGAAGACGAAGGGAAGACGAAGGGAAGAGAAGACGAAGGGAAGAGAAGACGAAGGGAAGACGAAGGGAAGAGAAGACGAAGAGAAGACGAAGTGAAGACGAAGAGAAGACGAAGAGAAGACGAAGGGAAGAGAAGACGAAGGGAAGACGAAGAGAAGACGAAGAGAAGACGAAGGGAAGAGAAGACGAAGAGAAGACGAAGGGAAGAGAAGACGAAGAGAAGACGAAGAGAAGACGAAGAGAAGACGAAGAGAAGACGAAGAGAAGACGAAGAGAAGACGAAGTGAAGACGAAGGGAAGACGAAGAGAAGAGAAGACGAACGGAAGAGAAGAGAAGGGAAAGGAAGGGAAGGGAAGGGAAGACGAAGGGAAGACGAAGGGAAGAGAAGACGAAGGAAAGACGAAGGGATGAGAAGACGAAGAGAAGAGAAAACGAAGGGAAGAGAAGACGAAGAGAAGACGAAGAGAAGACGAAGTGAAGACGTAGAGAAGACGAAGAGAAGAGAAGAGAAGTACAAGAGAATAATAAGAGAAGAATAAAAGAAGAATGACAAGAAGAGAAGAACAGAAGACGAAGGGAAGACGAAGAGAAGAGAAGACGAAGGGAAGACGAAGAGAAGACGAAGAGAAGACGAAGTGAAGACGAAAGGAAGACGAAGAGAAGACGAAGGGAAGGGAAGACGGAGGGAAGGGAAGACGAAGAGAAGAGAAGGGAAGGGAAGGGAAGGGAAGACGAAGGGAAGACGAAGGGAAGAGAAGACGAAGAGAAGAGAAGACGAACGGAAGAGAAGAGAAGAGAAGACGAAGAGAAGACGAACGGAAGAGAAGAGAAGAGAAGACGAAGAGAAGACGAACGGAAGAGAAGAGAAGAGAAGACGAAGAGAAGACGAACGGAAGAGAAGAGAAGAGAAGACGAAGAGAAGACGAACGGAAGAGAAGAGAAGAGAAGACGAAGAGAAGACGAACGGAAGAGAAGAGAAGAGAAGACGAAGAGAAGACGAACGGAAGAGAAGAGAAGAGAAGACGAAGAGAAGACGAACGGAAGAGAAGAGAAGAGAAGACGAAGAGAAGACGAACGGAAGAGAAGAGAAGAGAAGACGAAGAGAAGACGAACGGAAGAGAAGAGAAGAGAAGACGAAGAGAAGACGAACGGAAGAGAAGAGAAGAGAAGACGAAGAGAAGACGAACGGAAGAGAAGAGAAGAGAAGACGAAGAGAAGACGAACGGAAGAGAAGAGAAGAGAAGACGAAGAGAAGACGAACGGAAGAGAAGAGAAGAGAAGACGAAGAGAAGACGAACGGAAGAGAAGAGAAGAGAAGACGAAGAGAAGACGAACGGAAGAGAAGAGAAGAGAAGACGAAGAGAAGACGAACGGAAGAGAAGAGAAGAGAAGACGAAGAGAAGACGAACGGAAGAGAAGAGAAGAGAAGACGAAGAGAAGACGAACGGAAGAGAAGAGAAGAGAAGACGAAGAGAAGACGAACGGAAGAGAAGAGAAGAGAAGACGAAGAGAAGACGAACGGAAGAGAAGAGAAGAGAAGACGAAGAGAAGACGAACGGAAGAGAAGAGAAGAGAAGACGAAGAGAAGACGAACGGAAGAGAAGAGAAGAGAAGACGAAGAGAAGACGAACGGAAGAGAAGAGAAGAGAAGACGAAGAGAAGACGAACGGAAGAGAAGAGAAGAGAAGACGAAGAGAAGACGAACGGAAGAGAAGAGAAGAGAAGACGAAGAGAAGACGAACGGAAGAGAAGAGAAGAGAAGACGAAGAGAAGACGAACGGAAGAGAAGAGAAGAGAAGACGAAGAGAAGACGAACGGAAGAGAAGAGAAGAGAAGACGAAGAGAAGACGAACGGAAGAGAAGAGAAGAGAAGACGAAGAGAAGACGAACGGAAGAGAAGAGAAGAGAAAGGAAGGGAAGGGAAGGGAAGACGAAGGGAAGACGAAGGGAAGAGAAGACGAAGAGAAGACGAAGTGAAGACGAACGGAAGACGAAGAGAAGACGAAGGGAAGAGATGACGAAGGGAAGAGAAGAGAAGAAGAAGAAGAAGAGAAGAAGAATCGAACGAAGAACACACGTCTCAAGAACTATACTGTCACCCCTCAAGATTTTGCCGCTAATTTTCTCTAACAGATTTCAGCCCTCTCTTGACCGCGGATAACGAAATATTAGTATTATTCCTAGAAGACCTACCCACGGAATAATGAAAACGGCTTACTCTTCCAATAACTTCTCCAATAAGAGAACCGTGAGAAACGGCATAGTACTTACCCAAGAATTCCAAAACTAAACGAACGAAACACCAACTTGGCCATCCGTTTCATTTACATATTCAATATCCCTAACATATCCCTCTCGCCGTAGAGATTATCACTTCATTAACACGACGTACGATCTCGCTTTTAATTAACCGAGAGTTTCAGCGAATCGCACATACGTGATATTGTCGGAGTTCATTTCGCAGCCGGGTTTTCTGTACCTGGTAAAAGCTCCTTGTGCATCGAGTCTGAGGTCGCTGTCGCTGTGAAGCAGATGTTGAGACGCGTTCCCAGGTTGTCGATACAAGCCGGGGATTGTCTGTGCTGTTGGATGTTGAGCTTTCACCAAACCGACCTGCAAAAACCGGTGTAACGAGATGTAACGATCGTTGTAACACCTTAAGAAAAAAAGAAAAAGACCCTTTCACATGTCTCATCTAGTGTATTTACCTTTTCTTCCCGTGGTGCCCACAACCAAGACAGCCTTTGCCGCCATTCCTCGCAGACGTTCCAAATGTTTCTCGTGCTCCATTGCCAGCCGATGTTATACCTATAGTTTCACGTTGAAAAACGATTAATCGAACGAATGGTAGGTGTGAAATTTAACAAGCTTCTACCACGTACTACGAGTCGGTAAATTGTGTTCTCATGGAGGAACTTTTTGGATAACGGTATGGAAATTGGATTATTGGGTCACGATGGTCGAGCATTGAAAATATTCACGTTTCACGTGTTTGTTGGTTAATCGTCCTTGCGTTTTAATAAAAATCATCACTAATCGATCAAATCAATATTTTTTCATTTTTAGTGGGTTAGTTTCTTTTTTCTTTCCTTTTTTTCACTGTTACGTTCGATGCGACGATAGTGGGGAAAGTGTTTGGTCACATGGAGCGTTCGACCGATGGGCAGACTAATAGCGTACTCGCAAGCACGCGGGAATATGCTATTATTAAGTGAATAGAGATGTGCGCTTATCAAAGGGGTCAGTGAGAAAATCAATTTTAGTAAGCGCGGTGTTAAAGGTAAAATAAAATTTCGCTACGTTCTACGGTTAACAGTCATTTAACCGAACCCTGTACGAAAGAGGCTTAGCGCGATTTTTTTCTTTTTTTTGCTCGAACTTTTGTGCTCTATCGTCGAGTGATATTTATTTTAGAGCGAGGCGGGAACGCTGGATGAAGCTGTGTATTCTAATTCGTACGTTCTCTCTTTTATCTGTGTTGAATTAAAATAAAAAAATGAAAAATACTGTAATATCGAGATAAAATCAAAAATTGATCGATCATAAATATAATTAATTTCAGAAAAATTTCGTCTCACATTAATCTCTTTTCTTCAGAAAAATCGAGAGCTCGTTAATTCACGCGTTCTCTCCTTTATCTTTGTTGAATTAAAATAAAAAATGAAAAATACTGTAATATCGAGATAAAATCAAAAATTGATCGATCACAAACATAATTAATTTTGTTAAAATTTTATCCTAGATTTGTTTCTTTTCTTCAGAAAAATCGGGAGCTCGTTAATTGACGCGTTCTCTCCTCTCTTCTTATTAAATAAAAGCAAAAAAGAGAGGTACTGTAATATCAATATAAAATCAAAAATTGATCGATCACAAATATAATTAATTTTAGCAAAATTTCATCCTAAATTCGTCAACTTTTTTCAGAAAAATCGAGAGTTCCCAACTCGAACTCAATAATGACCCACTCGTGGTCACGATTACCGCAGTTTCACAGATTCGAACGTCGTTTTCATCAGGATTTAACTGAACCAACAACGACCGGCGTTTCCCGCAACTGCATTTAATATTTCTTCATCCGCCGCGCGAAGGAGTGTGTTTCGTTTCACTCGAAGAAGAATAAACCCGGGTACGGGAAAAGGGCAGATAAGAAGTCTCTGATACAATTGGTAGCTGAATGACCCTTTAACCTGTTGCATGAGTTGCATTTACCAGTCTTCGCGAGTGTGTATACATGTTATGTAATGCGAGAAAATACCGAAACACGAAAGCTCGACTTAAACGCGACACGTGGAATGATCTTTTCAGCTGTCGCGACACGTTTTCACGATTGTACGAGAAAAAGTTGCCACTTGAATTGTCCCTCGTTTAATCAAACTGCAATATAACGCAATTTAATTTCCACAATAGAAAAGAAAAGAATAGAAGAGAAAGAAGGGTCACGTGTTTGTTAGAGTACACGTTTCGAGCTTAAAGGGTAATACCCTTTTGTCGTAAATCCACGTGACGGAGTTGTCATAATCGGGTTTCAAGATTTCGAGGTCGACGGACTTTACGATTGCAGGCTTGACGCGTCCAACTTGGGAATTCTCGCTATCGGCTTGTCACGGTCGAGGTTTGTTCGTAACTGCATCCGACTATACCGTCGTACATCTTGTCAATTTACTCGATTTCCTATCGTTCCTTTGTAGAGGAAATATTAACGTTCGTAATAATGGCTTCGAAGAAAATCACCTGTTCGCTTTTTTTTATTATTTTTAAACGTTCGAATCGTTGTCGACGAGGAAAGTATTTTGATAACTTTTTTATAGATTTTTTCTCTGAAATTTCAATTGTTATTTTAGTAATTGTTTTTTGGAGTTCCAATTGTTCGTTGAAAAATTTCGAATTTATTTCGAAGAAAATCACCTGTTCGTTTTTTGAGTATTTTTAAACGTTCGAATCGTTGTCGACGATATTTTGATAACATATTTATAGATTTTTAAAATTTTGAAATTTCAATTGTTATTTAGTGATTTTTAAGAATTTTAATAATCTTTTTCTAGAGTTCCAATTGTTCGTTGAAAAATTTCGAATTTATTTCGAAGAAAATTACCTGTTCGTTCTTTCATTATTTTTAAACCTTCGAATCGTTGATGAGGAAAGTATTTTAACACTTTGCAACTCCAAGCATTTTTTGACGAGATTAATCAGCAACTCCACTACATTTCCGCAGTGAAACTTTCGAAAACCCAAAGATTCGTTTCGAAAAAAAAAAACAGATTTTTAATATCTAAGTTGCGTTACTTTGATAAAACAGAAAAACCTGAATTTTACGTTTAAAAATTCTCCAGAGTAATTATGCATGTGACCATAACAGCGCCATCGGAGTGCAAAGGGTTACTAACAATTTTTCTTCTAATTTTAACAGTCTTTCTCCGAAGTTCCAATTGTTCGTTTGAAAAATGTCAAATTGATCTGGTCAGCGATTTTATTACTACGGAAAACACTTAAGCTATTACTGTATGAGAGGTGAAGCGCGTTTTTGAAAGGGGTTTCGGGGTAAAGGTGTAAACGACAGGATGAGTGAACGGAAAAGGATGTTATAGAATTATCGAGGGATAGGTTAGCGGTCAATGAATGGGATCGTTAAAATCGTGGTGCAATCACCTTCTGTACAGAGCCAGGGCGGCGCCAGCCACGATGACAAAGACCAAAGCTACCACAAGACCCCAAGAGGTGACTGTCCAACCCATCCTTCTTAATACCAAATCCAGGCCCGACCACAAATCCAATCAAACCGCCGAGCCTGAAACACACGGAGTAAATCCATGGAGAGCATGATCCGATTACAGTTACAGAACCAAGATTACCGTGGATTAACGATCTTCACGCATGCCTATGGCGTACATTCATTCGGTTTTACCAACTTGTCCACGCCTCGATCTACAAAAAGTTCTGGGTCAAATCGAGTAATATATTCGTTTAGTCGGGAATATATCTGTTTGGTCGGATTAAAGAGAATCTTCGTTGTTTGTAACATACTTGTGCCAACGATTTTTCAATCTTTACGGGCATGGCTTTTAGCCAATTTAGCGAATTTTGTTTTATCGCCTCAATTTATTCGAAGGAAACAGGAAAACAGTTGCTCTAAATTCGTAACTAGGTGAATACAGTGTTTTCGGGACGATGATAGTTGTTTTGGGTCAAAAAGTTGCGAGTAATGTGTAAAATCCGAAGTTGACCAATTTTGACCAAAAAATCGCGAATGAAATATTAAGTCCAAAATTGACCAAGTTTTGACAAAAAATCATGAACAAAATGTAAAATCCAAGGTTGACCAATTTTTGCCGATAAAGTCGTAAACAAAGTTGAAAATCCAAAATTGATCAATTTTGCCATTAATGTCGCAAACAAAGTTGAAAATTCAAAAATGACCGATTTTGGCCGAAGAGTCGCGAACAAAATGTAAAATCTAAAATTGACCAACTTTTGCCAATAAATTCGCGAACAAAGTTGAACGTCCAAAATTGACCAATTTTTGCCAATAAAGTTGCAAACAAAGTAGAACGTCCAAAATTGACCAATTTTTGCCAATAAAGTCGCAAACAATGTGGAAAATCCAAAATTGCTCAATTTCGGTAAAAAAGTAGCAAACAAGGTATAAAATCGAAAATTGACTGTTTCGGCCAATAAAGTCGCAAACAAAGTGCAAACTCCACATGTCGTTTTTCCATAAGTCAATCGTTTTTTTTTGCGGATCGAATCACGCAAAGGCTTCACGACACAGCAGTATTGTTCACCGACCGTTTGACCAGTTCTTCGTGCACCATATCGCGATGATCGATAGGCAAGTTTGTCCAGGAACTTTTTGAACAGAGCAATACCCGTACACGCATCTATAATCTAACGTGTTTAACACTGCTTCGTATCTAAAGTGTCCCATCGTCGCGTGTTTATATCGCGAAATGATCGCGAAAACGAGAAAGGGACAGACGGAAGAAGAGGGGAAAAAAGGAGAGAGAGAGAGAGAGAGTTGAAAGTCGCACCCTCGTGAACAATTCGATCTTGAATCGTCAGCGTGGTCGTTACAGCGATACCATTCTTTCCCGTCGGCGTAACGTATAAACGGCACTCCGTAGAATTCGTTGGAAAACGGAAAGGTAGACGGTAGCCGGAAATGTCGATAGAAGTTAACGAGGCAGTGCCGCGACGTGATAAAATCTCCCCCACGAAAAAGTTCTCCCCGACGATTCGTGCCTTTGCCGTCGACATGAAAGGATTTTCAAGATTCGTAAGAAACTCTGGCGCAAAATTAGAGTCGGCCGTCGCCGCGGTTTCATCTCTGGTTACGTCGTGAAGGGTCCCTAATCTCGTCTTTCGACGTGACTGCCTCCGCACGAATACCTGTGTATCCATCCTCTGTACCGATGCGCACATGTGCATATACGTAGATACGTATACATGTATATAGACCGTTTCCGGTCGAACAGACCGCTGTTACGAATATATGTGTCATGTAGAGAGGCATGCATATGCATGGGGCGTATAAGCACATAGGCGGTAGACCAAAGAAGACTTGGAGAACCCTTAGACGACTGCCCTTAACTTCGTATAGGTAGTCTGCCTCGAGCAAGAATAGACGGTTCGAAACGCGATTCACCAGAAATAGCGTACGGTGTCTTATTCTCTTCTTCAGATTAGTTTTTGATATGCGAATCTGATGAAAAATGAAAATGGGATAATTAGTTTGAGAATTAATACTCGATGTGTTTGAAGGTAATTTGGGTAGGTATCTATACAGGGTGTGTTTGAAAAAGAGTATTCAGAGTATATGTGAAATGGTACCTAATCATTTTTAAGTTAAATAAAAAATGTGTAATAAATGTGAGCTAAAAATTAAAATTGCTAAAGTTACTCGTGAATCAGATTACAAAAGAAAATGGGAAAATTAGTTTGAGAATTAATGTTTGATATGTTTGAAGATTCAGGGTATGTAGAATGGTACCAAATCATTTTTAGGTTAAATATGAAACGTGTAATGAACGTAAGCTAAAAAATGAAATTTGCCAAACTTACTCGTAATTAGGTTTACATAGGATATTTTTTATCAATATCAAAGATTGTGTGATAAAATGGGTTAATTAGTTTTGTGACATCGAATATTAATTCTATGCAATTATTTTAGCAACGATCTGCAGGGTGTACTTGAAAAATAGTATTCAGCGTATGCAGGATAATGCTCGGTTGCAAATTGAATAGCAAAATTAATCATCTCAGAATTACTCAAAGCAAACATTACGTTTACGTAGAACATCTTTTGCCATCTTCTTCCTCGTTATCTTCGTCTTCTTCACTCACGTTCATTACCAATTTTTCGTTCAATTTCACGATTACTATCCACCTTATCAATTCTGAACCCATTTTCCCAGAAACAGCCCCTGTAGTATTTCCACAAAGCGCAGAGACGGTGACTTTACTACACGTGGTATTGATTATCGGTTTAATGCGATATCTTTCTAAATATACGTTCATTTGCATAGTTGAAGCTTATTCGTCGGTACATACATTTTCCCGATCTCCTCGTGTCTATCCAAAACTCGCACTGTCTCCTACGCGTTTCAACGTTCGCACGTGTACCGTCGCGGAGCGGCGAAGAGGTTAAGGTATTACTTTCCCGTGTCACGTACATGAAAGATTCTATACCTTTATCTGAAGAAGGGACGCGTAGGGTCATCCATATTCCACGCAGAGGGTAATGCTCCCCCTTTTATCTCAGACGTTTCGACACAAAGTACGTGTGGCTTAGCTTAGGTGTAGTCATGCACTCAGCTTCTTTCAAAAAAAAAAGAGGGGGGGTGGCAAGGAGGAGGAGGGCTTGGGTAGGGGGATTGGTTACGAGGGTGGAGGGGGAAAAAAGGAGGGGAGGGAAGAAAGCGCACCCCAGCGTGTGTCTGAAAAAATAGGCCAAGCCAGCGGAGTCGGTGAACTTTGCTCAGATACTTCGACGGGCATTCAACGAACATCAGCAATCCGGATGGTTTCCCCTTCGAAGAAGCAATCCGCTTTTCAAGTACTATAGATACACACGATCTAACTCGCAAACCGCGCGCACACACACACATACTCACGTGGTTCGTGGTATTTTATAAATACGATACTTTCGCAAGTATTTTTATCTAAATTGTGCTGCTGATACTTTTCTCCTTTGTGAATCTTACATTCTTGTTGTTCCTTTCTCCTTTTCTAGCTTGCGACGAGTTTCCTATTGCGGGTGAAACTTTTGTTCGTTCGATTGATTCTGTATTCTGTTGTTTTTTGAGGTTAGGTTAGGTTAGGTTAGAAAAGCATTACTAATAAACGTTTTCTCTTTTCGTAGTTTGTGACGAGTTTCCTATTTCGAGTTAAATTTTTGTTCGTTCGATTGATTCTGTCTTCTGTTGTTTTTTTAGGTTAGGTTAAGTTAGAAAAGCATTAACAACGTTTTCTCTTTTTGTATTTTGTGACGAATCTTCTATTTCGAGTTAAATTTTTGTTCGTTCGATTGATTCTGTCTTCTATAATATTTTGAGGTTAGGTTACGTGAGATTAGGTTATGGAAAATATTAACAACATTTCCCATATCCTTCGAAGAGGAGATTAATAATTCCTCGATCTCGACCGGTCGATTGTCGTGTCGATGAAAAGAGTTCGTATTCAGTGAAAGTTGCATTGAGAGAAAAGATCAGAGGAAAGTTGTATATCGGATAGCATTAAAACAGAAGCTGTATAGAGGATAAAAGAACCAGCCGCGGAATACCTGGGTAAAAGGAATACGAGACGAACAAGTAGAGAACAACAATCGTATTATGTTAAGAAACAAGAAGCAGAGAAAAATGAGTAGTAATAGCGAAAAGGAAAAGGTTCTCTCTCTTCGGCATTCTTTATTGTTTCTGCAAGTAGCACACAGCGTACTGTTTCAGTCGTACAAATCATTTCGAGCATTCTTATTCTACTTAAAAGACAGAACTTCGCTGCCGCCTGCGGTCAAGTAGAGCGAGGCGCTTATGGTCAGATACGAAACTCACGCGTCTTCTATTAGCCATAGAGCAGCGAGTGTTCCGAGTCTTTGATTATGAAATTGTAAAGCAATTAAGGAGACAGGTGCAAGAAAGGTGTGAAGTCATGGTTGCATGCAAAGAAGCGTGTATTGCAGTTTTTATTTTGCCTAATATCTCAGTATTATGATGTCGTTAAGCAGATAGATGCAAGAAAATTGTGAAATCACGGTTGCATATAAAAAAAGTGAGAATTTCATTTTTTAATTTGCCCAATATCTCAGTATCGCAATATTGCTATATATTTATGTATTAAGTGTACAAATTAATTTGGTGCCTTTTCTCACAAATTTTGATATTTATTTATCAAAGATCAAACACAATTTTAACGTTAAAAATTATCTCTATTACTTTGGATGACCTGATTCCATTAACTGACGAATTTCGTCTCTGAAAAATTACGTCGGTTTTGAGTTGATACAGTCGTCAAAGCGTTGCAAAATAAGGCACCGAATTAATTCGTACACCTAATATATTTGATAAATAAAATCAAAAAGTGAAATGTGTATTAAGAATTTAACAAACCGTGGTTTTCAAATATTTAAATAATACTACCTCCTATTCTTCACCTACTATTTTCTCAAAATTATTTTTTTACACTGCAACTACTCCCGTTTATTCACTTTCGAAATGACATTTAAATGAAATCAGACAAATAT